CATGACCATCCATCTCCAGAACATTTCATCTTCCAGAAATGAAACTCTGTACCCATGGAACAGTAACTCCTCACTTCCTCTGTCCCCCAGCCGCTGGAAACCATTATTTTATTTTCTGTCTTTATGAACTTGCCCATTCTGAGTACCTCATGTAAGTGGAAACATACAGTATTGTCCTTTTGTATCTGTCTTGTTTGACTTACGATTTTTTCAAGGTTCATCCATGTTGTAGCATGTATCAGAGTGTCATCCCTTTTTTAATACTTAAAAACTTTACTCATATGATTATACCTGAAGACACTGTCAAAATACTTTTTTTAAATTGAGTACAGTTGATTTATAATATTATATTAGTTTTAGGTGTACAACATAGTGATTCAAAATTTTTATAGATTACACTCCATTTAAAGTTATTGTAAAACATTGCCTCTGCCTCTATTTTAAAGTGATCCACTTCCTATTGGATTTCTTTAAAGTATGAACTGGGCAAGTCGAAAAAGAATAGTGAACGTCGCCTTTTGTGCCTTTGAAGGGAAGGATTATGATGGTTCTCATCAGGTGCGATAAAATCAGGAATGTACCCAATAACTGGTAGACAAAGCGGCCTTTCCATTTCTTTGCTTATAGAAGATGGGAGATACAGCTTTATGCACCTTCTTCCTCTGCCTGTGCCACCTCCTTTCCCTCACGAGAGGGAGTGCCCTGGGCCAAGTGTCAGCTCTCTTTACGTTCCACACTGTACCTTGTTCGCACTTAGAGCTAAGAAATGAGGAAACAGTCACCATAAGAGCGAACATGCTGAAACGGCGAGAGAAGGGAAGGTCACAGCTGGTGAGACTGGTAGAGGCAACACCTCTATTTTCAATAGTTGCATAAATTATGACAAAATGGGAAGATAAGTGACTGTTGCATGTCCTATTCCCTAGAGAAGAAACCTACCGGAGGAGGGAGGGCGAGAAGAATGGTGAGAAGGGCAGGCAGAATTTCAAAATTGACAGCATATGATGTTTTACCTTATGTTATGTTGAACAAAGGGAATGACATCTTCTGTCCCTGCTTCCTAGAAATAGCTCAGGGGGTCAGGAAGGCTGCCTAGGATAAAAGGAACAGGCAACAAAGACCTTATGCCTGGTACAAGCTTATCACGTGAAAGCTAAGTTTTCCTTCCCTTCCTTCCTTCCTCCCTCCCTCACTCCCTCCTTCCATCTCCTTTCCCAACCTCTTTTTTTTTTCAGTATTGTTAGACTGAATTTAGGAACCTGTGGATTTTAAACCTCAAGACTTTCATTGTTTCCTTCAAGTCCCACAGCTTATTATAATTTTAAAAGATCTCCTTTCCTTCCATGTATAAGTCATTTCTTTTTATTTGTCTCTGCCTGTCTTGGCATCTCTTTTTGCAGACCTCTTGGTGAAGCAATTTGAAGTTCATAGGCAGACTATCCAGAGAAAAGGAAACAAAGTTATTTTAAGAGAGTCAACAAAAATCCTCAAGTAAAATCCTTCAAAAGCGATTCCTTGCTAGATAATACGACTTCCTTCCTGGAGTCCCCCTGGGGATATAAATGACACCTATGAAATTACCATCATTTACCAAAAGAGCCTACACAAAGCATCTAATTTTATGACTTGCCAGGAAGGCAAAGAGCGATGCGTGCATATAGGCAGTGTGAAGTCAGCTTTCAGTGGTAGCACTTATTTTTAGAGTCAGTCATAGTGTTCCGGTCCACTTGGACAGGAAATATATATTGAAAATTCGATACTCACTGTGATAATATCATAGTAAGTAACTCAATAATCTTAGTTTGAGTGTAATAGTTTGCCAGGTCAGGATCCAGTCATAGAGAGTATTATCTAACTCTGGAGCTAAGTTTGGCTTGTAGAGTCTTATTGGCTTGGTGTGATATGCATGAAGGCAGTGTCGGGCTGGAGCTGGCACCTGCAGGCCTGTGAAGAGCAATTGTGCACATCTCTTTCCAAATCTATGTTCAGTGACTTCAGGCTGGTACCTGGAAATCAGCAACGGTGGGAGTATTTACACTGTGGAAATCAGCAAACACTACAAATGTGGGATCCCTCTCCCATCATCTCTCCCCTCCAAGAGCTGGTGGTTAAATATTCACCAGACATCACTGCATATAGTAAAAGGAAGGCTCACTTTACTGCTTCATTACAATACAATAGTCCTATTTCATCAAAATATTAGTTCCTGTGTTGCATAGATGTGGCTGAAAACCAGCATGTGGTTTATCTGGCTGGAAGATTTGCTCCTGATAAAAATGAATAAGCAAGCAAGACACTCTGTGGAATATTCTATTGATAAGGATATTAAGTTAGGTATAGCATTTATCTTGCCTGTCCCTATGCAGGGGAATCAGTAAAAGAAAGGAGGAAATATGATTGCCATCACCAGTATCACCGTTGCTTCCTGAGAGCTGATGTCAGGCGCCGCACACTGGGGTTCCATCCCTATGTGTACACAAGATGCTTTTTCTCAGGACCTCGTGTCACTACATGGCCCATTTAGCTCCTTACTGTTTGCAATTTGGTTTTTATCACTTCCATTTCTTTGAAAATAAACTCAGAGATTCACAGATGCACCTCTATCCTGTTAGCATAACACTTTAATGATCTTCAGCAATACCGGGGCTCCAATCTTTTAAGTTTCTTATGCAAAACTCGAAGGCGTTTGGAAATAATAGAGGCAAAAGATCGGAATCTGGGGATGGAATGGCCACAATACATAAATCAGAATTCATCAGTGCTTTAAGAATTATCTGATTAAAAAAAAAGAACTACAATTGTATTTGACTTCCAAGAATTAAACAAACTGCCCTTGGAGGTGGATGTGAGGAGGACTGAAGGCAAGTGATGGTGTGAAGACCACCAGGGACCCGTGATCAAGGTTTATTTCACCTAGAGGCCATTCTCAGGAAGGGAGACCTGATGTCGCGTGTAGCTTTGTCTGAAGTTCAACAAGCAGCTCTCCTCCCCATGGATCCCACTGGAAACAAGTGCAAACAGTATGTCTTCACCGACGGCTCCCAGAGCATGTCCCCAGCTCAGGCATCCTTAGTCACTGCAGTGGGTAGTTTGGGACTTGTGTTACATGCAAGAACAAAAGGATTTTTTTTTCAATTTTGCAAAGCTGAGCCTTGAAATTTAAGGACGGTGAAATGGCTTTTATCTCTTCCACTCCTTTCTAGAAAACCTGCATTTCTCCTTTTTTTTTTCTAAATTTTGTCTCATTTGCCTGCTCATGTGTGATGTTTGGCACATGCCATCTTCTCTGTAGGTTCTTGTATATATCTTGTCTGGTGTGTGTTGTGGGGCAGGAGAGAAGGTCATATTCATTTTATAGTCCCAGTACCACTAGCATAGCATCCTGTTCTGTGCTCATGAGCAGTGTTAATATAAGCTTCCTGTTTACCTTTTTTAGGAGACCTTTATCCATCTATTATTAATTTAATAAATATGTGAAGCACATGGAATTAGAGTGAGGTCTATGTATGCATTGAATTCGTAAAAAAAATTGTTCTAGGTCCTCTGGCTATTTTTAGTTTTCAAAGACAGTTTATTTATTATTTAGATTATTACAGCCATTATATGATTTATTATTGTCAAGTATCTAGCATTCTGCTTGTCATAGAGTTGATTCTCAACAAATATTCATCTCTTTTCCACTCCTCTAATACCCTCAGATGTTTAGTTGAGTTTGTTCTCTGATTTTAGATATCCTCTGGACCACCTTAGTTGCATGTATCTACAGACAGAAGGTGCTGAGCACACGCACAGCCTGTAGCTACTGCACCACCACCTCCACCAGCCCTTGTTTATGGCCAGGTGTGGCTCCAGCCTAGAGGCAGTGAGTGTGGTGTAAGGCTAGATCATGGGTTCTGGGGTCAAGTGATCTGTCTGTTTGTTCTGTCACTGATTTGTTTTACTTTCAATAAGTTTGTTGACTCTCTCAGTCTCAGTTTCCTCATCTGTCAAATGGACTAACTAAGAGGGATTAACATATTAAAATTTAATATTTAATATTAAAACATGATGGATTAAAGTAGATGATGTAGGTAAAAGCCTTAGCGCTTCGTTATAAATGACAGTTGTGGTTAGCATTACTGTGAGAAGGTTTCTGTTGAGAAGCCAGCTCGCTGAGGATGGCACATTTCCCCGTCCCCTCAGCTTGGTGCTCCAGAGGCATAAGGGATGATGCGGCTGGAGATCCATTAAAAGAATCGAAGGCTTCAAAATTTGAATTCAAAGTCTTTTTCCTCTTCGTGTTCTGTGGCCCCTCCTTGGTTCCCAGAGCCCCTCTGCTTGGAATTTACTTCCTTCTCTGTCCTGTAATTCCCTTCCCTGCATCCTGCGTACACGCACCCCGGGTCACCCCACCCAGTTCTCTTCTATCCTCATAGTTCTACAAGGTTTGAAAATACTTCTGCCATCCTTCCGTGGAAAATCTATTCTCTCTACCTTTGACGATTTCCAAATGTGTATCTGCACTGTCTCAGCTAAGCTCTGGGTCAGCCTCGGGGGAGAGGTGCTTCTGGGGATGTAGGCTACAGACCCCACCACAAGTGGACTTTAATGGGCAGTCACAATTCATAAGCTTTCTCCCTCGGAAATAATATCAGTGAGTAGAAGGTACAAGGAGATGGTCTTCAGAAATTTCCACATTCAAAGATGAATTTGGCGGAGGGAAAGCAGTAAATTCCCCAGCACTGAAAATATTTAAGCACAGGCTGAGAGACCACTGCTGTATGGATTTAGAGATTGGAAGCAAGAGTCAAGGAGACAGCTGAACTCAAGATACCAAGATTCTATTAACATTTCATGTTATTTTGGCATTATGATTATTACAATATTTTAAAGTTCAGAAGTTTTAGACAAAAGTGGGACAGTCTGTCATACACACACAGACACACAGACAGACACACACTCTTCATCCATACTTGGAACTCCTTTTGCAGATTAAATAAGGTTGCAATAAAAAACTCCAGTGAAGCCAAGACCTTCCAATTTTATTTTTGAGAAGAGCACTCCAGAACAATCAGGGCAAGCTCAGAGATTAGCTGTAGTTCTTCATTTAGTTAATCCTGTTTTTCATGCAAGAAGCAGTTTTGCCACTTCCTTTGGAGACTGAGCAAGTACATTTGTTAATAAAAATAGACTTTGCACCTTCCTCTTGCATAAGTCCACTGCTGTAAGCCAGCTTGATTTGAATGACAGGAATCTGCTCAAATTGTGAATGGACCCAATAAACTGGAACACTCTTACCTGGGAGAAAAGAGAAATCCCAATGTTGAGTGTGTATTTGGAATCAGACTGGTCTCCTGAGAATAGTGTAAATGCTTTATTATTCTGTCTTCAATTTAAACATATCTTTCATTTGACACTTGAATCTTTATTCCCAGGGCTTCTTAAGTCTTCTACAATTTTCCTGCAGAATATGACTTAGAAAGACTCATTGCATACTTGCTGGGTACAAGGCACTACAATAAGCCTTGGGGGAAAGAGAAAAATCAGAAGCAGAAAGTTGAATAAGACATGGTTCCTGCCTAATGGGCTTTAAAATCTACTGGGAGAGGAAGTAATGGCTAATACTGTCAGTTATTGAGTTTTTTATTGATTTAACATACTTTAACCAAGAAATGTAAAGAAAAGAATATTGAAGAAAAAATTTCTTAAGGAGGGAAAAGGGAAGGAATGAAATCAAAATGCTAATGATCATTGTATTAGAGCACTGAGATTCAAAGTGATTCATTTTTCTTTTGCTGTTTCCACATTTCCTTGAATAAGATTATAATTCCTTATCATGTATGAAAATACATATAAGTTTAAAAATTATTCTAGAGTATTTTCTTAGTACCTAAAACATAGCTATCATGTCTTTAGTAAGAGAATTTGCCATGAGGGACAAGGAACTATAAAGTTGAAATCAAAATCAATATGAATAGAATTTACAAATTTAGTGACTTCCATGTGGTTCTGTATACACACACAGACACACACACACGTATATGGATATATAGATGCATACGAAACACATATTCATCTCACACACATACGTATGTGCACATACGTGGATATCTACATACATATATTCATTGCCAACTCTAGAATGTTCTTGAACATTCCAGATGGATGTTTTGGGTTCTGTCCTTTGGTTCTTTTTTTATCCTAATGATTGAAAAGACAGCAAATGACCAACTTCCACCTTCTACTTTTACTAATACTAGTAACTGTGGTGGAAAGTAAAGAGCACCTAACTGGTGAAGCTTAGCTCTGAGTTCAGATCCTGACTCTACCCTGAACTACTCCCTGTCTGTGCATGTGTGAATATTCGCTGGTGGAATGGAAGAGTCGGTCAGATCCCTGCAGATACCCATAAAGGCCAATCTATTGCCTGGGTTAGGAATGAAAAGAAGACATTGATAAGAAGTATTTTAACCTCTCTTGACCTTAGAGGAAGTCTTTGGAAATCTACACCATCCACTCTGCAAGCTCTTTGTGGATGCAGGCTCTGAGACCAACATACTCCAAGCTCCAGACTGCTTGTTCATCAACTTCTGACCGTCCATTGCCCGTCAACCTGCTCCACTTGCTTCATAGAGGGCATTTCCATGGCACGGTTATACCAAAGATTGGGTGGTGACAATAATAGCTACTAAAAATAGCTATTTGTTAAAAGGCTGTCACGGGCAAAGTTCTTACCTCCATCCTCTTTTTTAATTCTCACAAGAGTCCGCCTAGTTAGCTGTTATTTTCTTTATTCTGCAAATGTGGAAATGAGGTTCAGAGAACCAAGTAACTCACTCAAGGTGGGCCAGTTAATGAGTGAAAGATTGGTGTATCAATTTAACATGGCGCAGCATTCCAGAAGGACCAAGGATAGACTGACCCCATGGATAAAAAATGATGCCAGAAATGGCTGGTGTTAGGGTTCAAGGAGGACTCTGCACTGGTGTGATCTGATTTTCTCCTTGCCAGATGACCTTTATTTTAAGGAAAGAGGCCATGCTTATCATATAAACAGAAGAGGGCAGGAGGTGGAGAGGCAGGGGACACCCTTGCAAGATGTGAGCTTTTGGCTAACTAGAACCAAAACTTAAATTACTGAATACAGATTTCCACATAAAGTTAGTAAGGTCCATTTTGAGAGCCACACTTGATCATATGCTTACATTTTTCTCTTTTTGCTCCAGGGACTTCAGTCTTCTGATTTCAGTACACCCTAATCCCTCTCTTCCATTTGCACCAGAACCTAGTGAGACTTAAGGCAGTTGTGAGTATCAAAATAGAACATTAACGGATAAAATTACTTAGAAGATTTGAAAGAGTAAAGGACGGCAGAGGAGAATGAAATGTGAGGAATTCTGTAAAAAGAGTTCAGTACCTCCGATCCTGTACCTAACATGGGTCACTGAGGTGCTTTGTCCTGCCATCTACCCTCTCTCAGCATTAAAGGAGGCTGTTAACAAGTACAGAGGCAAAGACTGCGTTAAACTCCACAGGGGGGCTCCGTGGGGAGCCCAGGGGACTCCGCAGGGAGTGCTGCCCCCACCCCCATGCTAAGGTGGCCAGTGGAGGCTGCGTCAGTGGAGGCTGGAACTCCAGGTGATGGGCTGGGCTTCTCTACCTAATTCCTTTAGTGCTTATGCCATGAGCCATAGTCGCCTAAAAGTGCAAGGGTCACCTACTCCAGAAGATTGCATTATAATTTGTCATACTGCATTGAGTCCAGGATTCTCCTTCCTGCTAATCAAATCATTTCAATACTCAAGCTGAATCAGGGCCAGCAGGGAAATTTTCTGAAATATGACCCATTCGTGATATAAGGACTGAAAACCACTTCCCAGTGCTATAAAAAAAAATGATTGATCACTTACCTTACATGGAATATCTCTAGGTTTTATTTTCATGAAAATGAATTTGTTAGCCTATGAATCAAAATGACCAAAGGCGATTTTTTTTTCTTCTCTTATCCTCTCTTCTCACCCTTTCTTAGGTATATTGGTGGAAATAATGAGATTAGCCAGGTCCTAAATGTCATGGTGAAAAATTTGCAACCCTATCAAACACTCTGATTATTGCCTTTATCCCACAAATGTAGAGAACCCAGGCCTCATTATCTTCCCTGTGGACAGCAAGGAGACATAAATAAACTTTTCATTTCCCTTCTTGTCAATTTAATATTGGTAAATGTAAGTTTCACACTGAACCAGGGAGTTAATAGTCACTAAGTATAATTTGTAGAGGTAATCATAGTGGAAAAGACTATAGAAATGCTAACCTTTGAAGTTTAATTTTTAGTAAGAAAACAAAAATCTATTTTTTGAGTCAAAATGCTACAAATTTTTTTTTAACTGATGAAACTTTAACTTTTTTTTCAACTTGTTATACACAGAGAGGACTATATAAAATGTATATGTGTATTTAAAGAGTGAAAAATGAATCAAACACCTGTGTAACCGTTATCCATGTTACCAACAGACCTTGGACCACTTATGTTCCCCAACCAGACCGCATCCCTTTTCCAACCCCAAGACAAGAATCACCCTGACTTCTGGAGTCATCATCCTTCTGCTTGCCTGTCTATGAACACTTAAACAAATATTGCTTAGTTTCACTGACTTAAACTTGCTTATTTCTTCTTCAGCAATATCAGTCCTCAGGTTCTAGCTGGCTTGGGGACAATGTGCTCATGGTCACCATGCAGTTAGCTTCGTCCACCTGGCAGGGGTTTTAATATCTGCAAAGTAACTCAGGGTTGGGCTCGGGGGATCATCTGTAGCCCTTGGGGAGGAACTGAAGGTCTTTGATTTTGTTTCATGGCTAAACTACTATTATTTGTCTTGCTTGTTTTCCTGTTTCCACATTTTCTCACTTCTTTGATTACGTTTGCTCTGTGGAATTCAGGGAAGGCCTGGGAGGCTAAATCTTTTCTACCAACAGAAGGCAGGGGACACTGAAGTTCTGTCTCCAGGCCACAGGGTCAGTTTCAAAGCTTTTGGAAAAAGCATAGGAGATTATCTTCATAATATGTGAGAAGGCAAATATTTCTTAGATTAAAAATCAATTATAAGAAAGAAAAATATTTAGATGAATTACTCTTTATTAAAATTAAAAACTTCTGCTCATCAAAAGACACCATTAAGTAAATACATACTGAAGTCACAGTCTGGGAGAAAATAATTGCAATACATATATCTGAAAAAGTTATATCCAGGATAAATATATTTTTAAAACCTTTTATGTGGCATAATTCTAATGTGGTCCCCAAGATTTCTACCCCTGGTGTATATATTCCTACTATAATCCCCTCCCCTGCATGTGGGGAGGATCCATGAATATAATGAGTGTCACTGTTGAAACTAGGTTACAGTATATGGTAAAAGTGAAAGAATTTTGTAGGTGGAATTAGAGTCAATAATCAGTTGACTTGAATCAATAGGGAGATTATCCTGTGTGGTGAGCTTTTCAAAAGAGACTCAGAACAGGAGAGACCCTTTTACACTGGCCTTGAAGAAGCGAGCCATCATGCTGTGATTTAAACAACATTAATGTGTTATCTCACAGTTAGACAGAGGTGGCCTTTAGGAGCTGAGGACCTCGGTCCTGTAACCACAAGGAACTGAATTCCACCAATAGCCAGAATCAGCTTGGAAGAAGAAACCAAGACCCAGATGGGAAACCAGCCCCTGTCATCACTCTGACTGCAGTCTTGTCCTGGGCAGAGGACCCAGTTAAGCCTTACCCAGCCTCCTCATCCATAGAAACTGTGAGATAATAAATGTATGTTGTTTAAGCCACTAAGTAATTTATGGTAATTTGTTATGCAGCACTGGAAAAATTATACATCTTATAATCCAATAATAAACAATTCAGTATTTTAAAAATCAGCAAAAGATTTAACAGATATCTCACAAAGGAAGACATACAAATGGCCAGTAAGCACAGGAAAAGATGTTCAATATCATTAGACATCAAAGAAATGAAGATTAAAATGTCAATTAGTTATTATTACATGGTCACACAACACCAAATTTTGTTTTAAAAAAGTAGATTAACTGGGAATGTGTGCATATAAAATGTTACAATCATGTTGGATAATGGTTTGGCACTTTCTGATAGATTTAAACATGTACCTGTTCTTACCTATTATATGATCAGCCAATTCCACTCCTAGGTATATTTTTCCATGAGAAATGAAAACATATGTCCACAAAAAGACTCATACATAAATATTCATAGAAGGTTTATTTATAATAGTGAAAACCCAGGAAGAAATTAAAATATCCATCAATAGGAGAATGGATTTTAAAAATTATGAATACTACTCAGCAATAAACAAAAAGTTACATACTACTGAAATATACAACAAAGTGAATGAATCCCAAGCACACGGTATTGGGCAAAGAAACCAGACACAAAAGAGTTTATACTGTGTAATTTCATACAGAAGAAATTCAGCTGTAGGTGGAGGGTATCTATGGTGATAGAAATCAGAATCATAATTCCCTCCAGGAGAGGAAAGACTAACTGGAAAGTTGCACAAGAGAATTTTGAGGAGTGATAGACGTGTCCTTTATCTTGATTGGCTATCAAGGTAAATGTATTTAACAAAGCCTTTTGCCATTTGCCTCTATGTACATTATACTTCATTTTTAAAAAATGCTTAAGAAAAATATGAAAGGAAAAAGCATAGTAAGGAATTAAAGTCAATGAGTAGCAACAACTGTTGAAATTTTGTTGAAAAAAAGAACGAGGGAAGTACAAAGTAGCTGAAACTTGACATGGGGCCTAGTGAGGAATTTTTTTAAATTTTGTTTTTTATTAAAATGTAATTGATTTACAATGTTAGTTTCATGTGTACACCAAAGCAGTTCAGTCACGCATATACATACATACATATATTTTTCAGATTCTTCTCTATTGTGTGTTATTATATTTCTCTAATAGTTGCCTGTGCTATACATTAGGCCTTGTTTATTCTATATATAGTAATCTGTATCTGTTCATCTCAAACTCCTAATTTACCCCTCCCCTGCCCTTTCCCCTTCGGTAACCATAGTTTTTTATGTTTGAGAGTCTGCTCTTGGTTTGTAAGTAAGATTTTTATCATTTTTTTTTAAGATTCTACATATAAGTGATCTCATATGATATTTGTCTTTATCTGACTTACTTCACTTGACATGCCAGATAATCTCTAAGTCCATCCATGTTGCTACAAATGACATTATTTCATTCTTTTTTATGGCTGAGTAATATTCCATTGTATATATGCATATCTGTATATAATATCTTCTTTATCCAGTCATCTGTTGATGGACGTTTAGGTTGCTTCCATGTCTTGGCTACTGTAAATAGTGCTGTTATAAACATTGGGGAACATGTCATTTTGAATTATAGTTCACTTCAGATATATGCCCAGGACTGGGATTGCTGGATCGTATGGTAACTCTGTTTTTAGTTTTCTAAGGAACCTCCATACTGTCCTCTATAGTGGCTGCACCAATTTACATTCCCACCAACAGTGTAGGAGGGTTCCTTTTTCTTGACACTCTCTCCAACATTTATTATTTGTAGACTTTTTAACAATGGCCATTCTGAACCAGTCAGTGTAAGGTGATACCTCATTGTAGTTTTGATTTGTATTTCTCTGATAATGGGTGATATTGAGCATCTTTTTGTGTGCCTGTTGGCCATCTCTATGTCTTCTTTGGAGAAATGTCTCTTTAGTTCTCCTGACCATTTTTTGATTGATTTTTTTTTTTTACATTAAGCTGT